TCTCAATTATCTTCAATCATGCTATACAGAAACAAATCAAATATTAGCTCATATACACACAGTGAAAAATTTTAAGACACCCAATGTAATAAAACAAAACATACATCTTATATATTTAATCTTAAAAAGATGAGGAAGGAAAGAATGTATTGCACCAAATTAACAGTAACTTCATTATAATGAGAAGACTAATCAAAATATTTACACATCTTTATTAAATCTAAAATTTTCTCAACTTTAAGACCGTTTTTTTGGCATACAAATATTCATTGAGTCACAGTTTGCACAGTCAATAATTAGATATAAATAAGGCTTAATATTCTCTTTCCACATCAATTCCATCAGAATAAATGAGCAGGAACGTTTTATGATAACTACTTTTGAATTCCTTAAATATTTAAGTAGCAGCACAATTTGCAAGTATTTTTTTTAAACAAGTAATTCTGAATTTTCAGCTATCCTCATCTATGTGTGTTCACATGCATTCAAGTCACTGTCACCCTCTATGATTATCATTCACTGAAATGTTCCTATTTAATCTGGGTCCCAGAAAAACTGACCTAAGAGACAAATCATGTGTGTTTTGATATTTTTCTGTCTTAATGGATTCATTTCTATAGCAGTGCACCTGATAGAAAATGTCTAGCTAAATCTCTGATTATTTTTTGCTAAATTTTTTGCTCCAAGTATATAAAAGCAAACAACTGGGGGAAGGAAAACCATACTCCTTAGGAGATTCTGAAGAGAACAGACCAGCCATACAGTTTGCTAACAATTTTTCTTACAGAAAGCTAATTATAAAATAAACAGTATCCACAAATATTTTTGGTGATAGTATTTCTGAATCAGAGCAGTAAAATGCTAGAAGAGGGGAAAAAAAGTCTAAAATGTGTAAGATCTTTGACAGCAAGATCTACTGTAATATGTCATAATTTTACAAGAAGGTAGAAACTATGATACTTTTAAAAGCAATCAAAATCCCAAAGGAAGAAACAAAGTTATTTTCTTTAATCCCTATATAAGAAATTAAGAGGTTGATTTTTTTTCAGTTAGGTCTGACAATATCTCCTTACCAGAACCACTTCTAAAGTGTTTATTAATATAATTTTAACATTCTGAAGAGCAAAATAAGGCCAATCACAGCTAAGTTTTTTCCTTCAAAATGCAAGACGGGCATTTGTTGAATTTATAGGTTGAGCCCACTAAATCTTAAAACACATCGCTTGGATAGTGTATGAAATGTTTCCAAAGGAAGGAACATCAAAAATAGCATTTTAACATTAACTAGTTAGTACCCTGGCTACCAGAGAACCTCTGGTTTTAATACCTATTATTTTGAAATATATTATTACCAAAATAAAATTTTAAAAGGTCCAATTGGAATAAGACTTTTTAAAAAGTTTATATTTTAATAAAAAAAATATAATTTTATTTTTCAACCCTACCTAAATCCTAACTTTTTATTCTTACAGTGCTACATTGTAATATTGCAACTAATCATTTGTACATTCAAAAATAGGTATAAATTTTAAATGAGACAGCCATCATATTATAAGTGGAAAAACACACACAAACACACCCAAAACTCCACTAACAGTCAACTTTGAAAAATGAATGGGTAATTCAATGACAGAACTGTGCTGTTGTTGTTATGGTAATATTTGCAAAATAAGTTTCCAGGGAAACATTAAAAATCTATACCACAGAAAACAAATGTTAGATTAGTGACTTTCTATTTGTTCTTTTCCCTTGAATTTTCAGTTTATAAGATTATAGGCATTAAGATAAAAGTAAATACAGGTGTATATCTGTCCTTTTAGTTTTCACTACAGCCATTAGCTTCCTAAGACCAAATCTTGTGTTTAGAAATCACCCACATGTGACAAATATCAGTGAGATAATCTAAGATATGTCTGATGAATTATACAATCTAGCCCAAATGTTTATGATAATATAGCCACTTTTAGACAGAGTTCTTATACTGAAGAAAATCACATAACTCCTATATGTAGGATGGCTTTATATTTTTAACATAGAGAATTACATCATTTCCAATATAGGCCTAAATATTTTAAATGTTAATGCTTTATTTTCTGTAATACCAGGACTTTTTATATGAAAAAATTAAAGATTATTTCCATATTGAGAAGTCATCAGAAGAAGTACTTAGGGAATATATCCAGTGCTTTTTAATTAGAAAAATTCTATTGATTACTACCTTCAAGGCTATGAAAGACCTAATTCTATTTTTAAACCTAGCATTTTGTAACTCATGCTTTTTATTAATACTTTAAAATATTACCTAATTCAAATATGCAAATACTCACTGACTCACTAGGAAGTAATAAAAGCAAACAGACACTTTTTTGGAAGCAAATGTTAGTTGTAATATTCAAATGTGAAAGGTCTGAAGAAAGTTATAATAATAATGCAACTGAAAAGGAAATTTGGTTGTTTCAGTGGCAAGCAAAACAAAGATAAGAAAGCCATTCCAAGCAAATTTTAGAAAAATGTCTCCAAGGATAATGATTAAACCTATTTTCCTATATGTCTGTGAATAAGCAATCTGATTTATAAAAATGGATATAATTTCTATAGTGGAAAATATTTTAAGACTTAATATAAGAATCCTGAGACATAATTTTTTTTATACTAAGTAAAGAAATTCAGAAAGTCCAGAGTAGGGCCTAGACTTCTGTATATTTATAGAACGCATGGACAAGTCTGATCTGCAATCTCAATTAAGAAACACTGGCTTAGAAAATGCTAGATTCAAATTAAAGAAGTTGTGGCCAACATTTTAATAATATTGAAATGATGAGGGATAACACTATATTTGTTGTTGCAGTAATGTCATCAGAAAAAGCACCACCAGGACTCTGATATAGGAAAGCTCTTCAGAACAATGTTCTGGATGGGGTTAAATTTAAAGCAAAACAAATGTTGGGTATATATAATAAAGGAATTTGGTTAAAAAGAATATTGAGAATGGATATTTGTTGGGAGTGATAAAAATATTTAAGATTGGCCACTTACTGGGAAAGAACAGAGTCAGCTGATGAAAGGAACAATAATTAGGACAAGCTAGCAGTCTGCGTGATACAAGAAAACAACAGATTAGATTTAGAAAAGAAAAAATATATATGCATTTTATCAGTCAAAAATTTTATCCCACAGACAGGTTTAAGAACTTATTTATGGAAGACAATTGTATTAATGTATTTGAAGAGACCAATCTTCACTCATTCACACACACACACCCTATGATAGTACATGTTATATATATATTATTTAATATTTATATTTAATATAGTTCATGCACTTGCATCTTTTCATTGGAAGGGTAATAAAGACAATGCTACTCATTTTTATAAATGTAAATATATAAAAGGAGCTAACCTCTTTAAATTTAACTAAAAGATTTCCATTAGTGATTTCTTTAGTAACAACAATAAAAATATACCTAAAGGCAAAGGCTATGTGTCTACCATCATTAAATAAAAAGCTGGTATTCAAGTTAAAAATTTTCTCTGCCTACTCTTATTCAAGTAAAATATAAACAATCTTAGGTTAAGATTCAATTTTCAAATCTAAATTCTAATTAATTATGAGGGTACACTTACTCCTTCATATGCATAAAATTGATTTTCAATACCAGTTCTTTAAGGATAATTGTTATATGCCTTACACTGAGTAAAAAAGGAAGCCTCACTGACATTCCTTGCTAATGACATGAATACCCGGCATTTTCTCTCCTACAAAAAGAACGTGACCTAAAAAAAGCACTGTGACCTAATGGAAACTAATAGATAGAAACTTATTAATAGCTGACACGAGCTTCACAGGCTTAAAAGACTGTAAGCCAACTGGACAAGCTTTATTTTCATCATATACTTTTCTAATTTCCATGCCCTGATCTATTTTTTCTTCTCTCCTCCAATTCTATCTAATTATAACAGAATACTGATTGGAGAGTGAAAAATTGGTTCTTTATTCTCTAAATGAACACAGCTATTGTTATGTTTTAATACTTGAGACCTCACTTTGTAAGAGCAACATCATTATCCTAGTATAAATCTCTCCCCATCACCAGATTTTTTATGTCAATCATCACCAGTATCAAGAAACAAAAGCAGATGAAAATTTCTTTAGATAACAAACTTCATAGCAGCTGAGATTATATTGATCAACTGAAATCACCTGTTATTCCATTCTAATCATACCGTTGTTCACTTCTCCCATTATATAAATAGAAACATCTTCTACGGATAACATCTAAATACACCAGAATCCCCCAAAGTATATCTTTCCAGTGATTTTATCTAGTCATTTTTAATTCAGTGGGCTACACTGTTTAAAAGAGGCTTATATTTTTCAGCTAATGGTTCTACTATATTTGCTTACTTTAAAAGATAAACTCAAGTTCCATTCCTCTAGACTAATGCTAGTATTCTCAGATTTTCCTGAAAACCTTACATTTTTGGTTTTTACTTTTTGGAAAAAGTAATATAGGAAGAATTCCACAGTTCTGAGCATCTACTGTTAGTCTAGGTAGGATATTTATTTTACTGTGAACAAAGGGTCTTCTATTTGTGCTATAAAATGAATACTGCTTGTTCAGTTCTTCCATCTAAAGAGCAGCAAAGTAAAACACCATAAATTTAGGAATTTTGCCCTGATAAGTTAAACTTCTTTGTAATTTGTAAGCATCCATCCAAAATAATTCCAAAACCAGTATTAAGTAACCTTAAAAATAAGGCATCCTTACACAAAATCTCTGGATAAGTAAGCAAAAGAAAAATTTCCAAAATTTTGATTCAGAAAAGTTTTTTTAAAAAATCAACATTTAAAATACCAAAAGTCAATCATGTTGGTTCTTATGACTTGAAACCTCCTAAAAAATATAATATAAAAAACAGAAATAGAATGAAATAAATAGAAGCAACAAATCTCAATAAATCATAATTATCTCTATTGACTTATTTTGAGACATTCTCATCACAAATTTCTGAAGTCCTTAAAAAGGAAATCTTTACATTTACATATGCTCTATTTTACACTTGCTGCACCAGTTTATTTCAGTGTTATTTACCTAAAACATAACTGTTCGGTTTTTTTTTTTACTAAACAAAACAGGGGATTTTAAATAATTGGAAGGAAAATTCTTCTATAAGTTATTATTCCTGACTCAAACAGATCACATCTATTCAAAAAGCTTCCCTAAACTGAATCCTGTATTTCTCTTAATTTTTTTTACTTACTCATAGGATTATAAAGAGAATGGTATTGGATACTGTGGACAACTGAAGAGAACAATTACAGAGGGAAAGTTTCTTAAAGATGCCATTGAGAAGACAACTAGATGTAAGGAAATCTATGATTTGCGGAATAAAAAGGAATATTATTATTTCATAAGAAACTATTACTGTGAGAAGTCTTTTTTTTTTCCTTCTGATCACAGACCCCTTAATGAAAGCCACACACTCACTTCTGAAAAAAATGCAGTTAACACATGGAATTTCCACATAATTTCAGGGGATTCATAAATTCCCCCAAACCCATGGAATCTCAGTTTAAGGACACTTGTAGTTGTAAAAGCTCTCTGACCTAACTCAAGATGACCTTATAAAAGCAGGTTTAACAATCTCTTTGAATTTCAAAATAAATCTATCAGCTTTTTACTTTAAAATATTGAACATTAAGCATATGTAACACTTAACTATGTATAATAACATTAATTATAATCTTAAAAGTTATACATAACATGAAATAGAAATGTTTTTAAAAATTACTATATCTAAATGACTAATTTAAGTGATGCGTATCTTTTCAATTCATTTATCAATCACATGGAAGTTAGGTAAAAATGTTAATGTATTTGGTATCATTGCTAACACTTCTAATTATGAGGAAAGACACAGTATTTGCTTAGTAAAGAATAAGCGAAGAAAATTTGAACTTTGCAGATATAAATTGTGTTGCAAATGCTAATACTTAAAGAGTCCACCTGTCAAAATCATAATCAGCATTTTCCTTAATTATACTACTAATGAAATACATCTGCAAAATATATCTCTAGTTTCTCTTATTCCTACTTAACCTTTATTATTTAAGCATAATAATATATTTTAGTAAGTTCTCATTAGTAATATGCTAAGTAGTAGTGGAATGACCCAATGTACCGGTTTCAACTGTCTTATATTCAACTTATCATGAAAACCTGTAATTTACACTGAGTTTTGAAAATCCAAGTGTGCAACAGATGCCTTTAAAATATTACCCCAATCAGGAGTTCCATAAATAAGCTTATGTATTTTTAAATATGGTGGTCAGTAAATAGGAAAATGATTAACTAAAGAATACATTAAAAGCCATATCTCTCAACTGTCCCACTATCTGTCCTCTTCTTAGAAATACCTTAAATTTTGCTGTTTAGAATAATGGAATTATATCCAACTTCTTCATTTTTGGAAGTTTTCTCCCCCAGTGGCTCTAATGATCTTTAGGAATGAACCTCAAATCTAATTCAATTGTATTTTCGTAAATCCACCTTGATGTAGATCAAGAATTAGTCAATAAGACTGGATTCATTGTTAACCAGAAATTTTTAAAGTGGATAATAATACAACCTGTGTCTTTATACACACATAGCATACTGAATTTTGGTAATTTCTAAATGATTTTCAGTGATAAAAGCCCTGATACATTTCAGATAGTTGAGAGATGTGGTTAAAGTGACAAAGCAGTAAATCAAGTTTCATGTATCCATGACAGAAGATGGAAATAGTAATCACTTGGAATCTTGAGTATTATATTCAGTTTCTCCAGCTGAAATCTGGCTGAGTCGCTTGCTAGATCCCCACAGTTTTCGAGAAAGCTGACCTGAACGCATCTGTTTAAAGTAATCCAGAGAAATGAAGAATAGATGTTATTTAAAGAAAGAAAAAAAAAAAAGAATAAGTGAAATTGATATGCAAGACACTGATTTTGTAGAATGCAGAATATAAATTTTGTTAGCAGAATAATTAACATTTTAGTGATTCTTCATTAATAATAATTAAAGAACGGCTTCTCTATGTTGGTTGTCTTTCAGTTGAGAAAGGTCTAATGCCAAAGTGTTAATTTTAAAATTAAATGTCCCAGTTTGTCCAAATTACCAGTCCCTTTCTTTATAAATTAACAAAACTGGGTGTTATATGCAACTAATGAATCACTGAACACTACATCAAGAACTAATGATGTTGGCCAACTGAACATTATAAAAAAAGGTTAAAAAAATAACAATACATTTCACTTCATTAAAATAATCTTCTGAAATTATACTTTAGCTAATAAGAAACTTAAGTTTGAGGATTTCTCCTCTTGTATTTAAAGTAATATTAATGCTTATCACAAAGATAAGAAAAAAGTAAAATTATGTTCAGATGAAGAGAAAAAATTTTAGGATATTTTGATATAAGAATTTCAAAAAATAATATTTAACAATAGAATGATAAAACATAATTTAGAAAACAAGAATAGCCTAAGGTCTCTGAAGGTAAGAATCACATTTTGTCCACCATTAATTTATATCACCTAGCACACTTCTCAGCATATAATAATTATTAATTAAATATTAATCCAATTGGTGAATAAATGCCCCTCTAAAAGTGCTTACACTTCTAGGCAGGGCAAAAAAAGAACCCATGTGGAAAACATTTCTCAGTCTAAGCATATGATTATGATGTCAGAATTACTTTCCCAAGTGGAATCTACTTTTTTTTTAAAGATTTTTTATTTATTTGATAGAGACACAGCGAGAGAGGGAACACAAGAATCTACTTTTTAATGTCAATTCATTGCCACCCTTTTTCAATGGTTACCCTTCTCTAGGGTACATTTATTGAAGGGATAAAAAAATCAAGCCTCACGCACAGACACTTTGGCATGCTTGTTATGCATTTTCATTTCCAGATGTATTTCCGGAAACATTATTTCCATTAATCTATTACCACTTTGCCATCTTATTTATAAATACAAATTTTGTATGGAGAATGTAATACATAAAACTGATAATTGACTTAAAATACATGTTAATCAAGATTTTGATCTTTTAGATAAATTCAGATACTGAAATAAAAATTTTTTCATACCTAAATCTTGATTTAATTTTGATACTGTCATATACAATTATATTTTAATTATGCAAGATTCTAAGTATTCAATTATATAATAAAGTAGATCCATACTTCCAGCTGATACATCCAAAGATGTAAAAAGATAAATACTTTTATTTAAAATCTACACACAATTAAGATTCCATGTGTTGTAGCCTACATAAATCTTTCAGCAAAGACAAAAAAACTTTAGTAAGTAGTACAAAACATTGATTGAGGCCAATGAAATGAAGCTTTTTAGGCATTTTTTCCCAATCAATTTTTGAAGAAAATGTGTGCACATAATGGTCACTTCATTTAAAAAAAATCAGTAAAATAAAAAACTGAAACAGTGAGAAAAAATGCTTAAAATATTTTAAATATAAGTGAAATACCAAGATATGGACTTTCTGACATTGTGTGGGGGACTGTTACACTAAAGGTAAATGTCACAATCAATTTAATAAGACCTCTCTTTTGTTATAATAATATCTTGAAAAAGAGAATAAGAACTAACAGAATCTTAAAATATATATAAAAACAAAAAGGTCCCTATGATCCATGGTAGATTTATTAAAACCAGTGACAGTGTGTTATTCACTAGTGTCTTCTCTGGAAACAATTCCAATAGATGCTGTGTTTTAGATTTCTCAGAAAAGACTAATGGTTATCAATACAAATTTATAATGCTTAATTTGACTCTATGTAATAAAAGAAATTTTCTAAAAGAATCACTAAATTACTTGAAATATAGCCACTAAGTTTTCTAAGGAACAATATCAGATTTATGCTATCTGAATATTCAGTAATTGATAAACCATTGGCAAATCTATAATAAGTACAGGAAACTCATTGAGAATTAGCATATTTGTTCTGCTAATTCTGGTATTTTTGTTGAAAGTAAAGTACATAGTTTTATTGTTTGAGCCTGTATTTCATTTTTTATAAAGGCTTTTATGTATTAAAAATCCAAGTAGTGTCTTGAATCTAGATTTGGAAAGATAGATAATAAAAGAACTTTCTTATTCATATAGAGTGATAGAAACTGCCAAATATGTGCTTTCAATTGTATCATAATAAAAACATCACTCTTGAATACTAGCTTTATCCCCTTTTCATTTACTATCCTTTGAAAAATCAAACCTGGTTTTTAATTTGTTCATCCATAATGGAGACTTCTGATTCAGCTGGAACAAAGGAGAACCAAAGGAATCCCCAATAGGATGGGAAAAGAAGTTCTTGATGCTATGTTTTACCTCAGCTTGCTTGCCAACACCCACTACAATCAACTTGCCATCTTCTAATCCTACAAGAATATGGCTGTATTCTTTGGTTACACAAACACAGTGGATAGGCATTCGCATGGCTAATGGGTTCAGGCTGAGATTCAAACTAGAAGAGAAATGAAACACACACACATAATTACATGGATACATTAATAGATTCAGAGAATTTTGTAACTGGAAGATAACCTAATGATCATCTGATTCTGCATTCTAATTTTACAGATGTGTAATGTAGATTCAGGAAGCCTGAATGGCTCACACAAGGGCCCACATAATAGCATTACTTAAAATACATATTTTTTTCTATTCTCAACATCTGTTTTTCTTCTAACCATATATATAATCTCTCACTAAATGATTTTTACCTTGTTGATTAAAAAGTGACAGTAGGACAAAAAGGGCAAAAGTTCATAAAGTGTGTGCATGTTGGGGGGTAAGGTTGATAAAACTGTTCTATCTGCCTTGTCTTAGAAGACATAATATATAAATATATAATATAAAACATAATAAATATCTAAAAATATGATATAAAAACATGACATAATACTCAATTATGGAAAATGTCCATGGCTTTTAGCATTAGAAAACAAAGAATCCTCTGATGTACACACTATGTTTGGACTAACCTGCTAAAAGATCTCACTCATTTTTAGAATCTGGCATTCTCTCTTTTTTTTTTTCTCCTTACCACTGATCTGGGATTCTCTTAACAATACCGTAAAAGAAAATGTTGGAAAGATACAACTCAAACAGGAACTCAGTGCTTTACTGCTGGAGAATGACAAAATTGAGAAGAGAATTACAAAAATAGGGAAAGGATGTTGGTACAGAAGTGATTCTGATGTGAATGTGGTAAGAGAAAACACCCTGGAATCAGGAAATGATTTAAAAGAAAGGTTTGGGAGGGGCCAAGATAGTCTCAGGAATACAAATATTAACATAAACCACAATAAATTTTTTAAAAATGGAAGAAAAGAATGTATTTGCGCATACAAGGAATAATAGTGCTTTGTGTATATAAGTTAGCAAATATGAAGAATATAAAACTTAAAAATATATCCACTACTTAAACATCCTTTTCCTTCATTGGTTTAAATAACAAGACTCCCCACCAATTTTACACATACATATACACAATCGTGAACAGATACCTTAGCCTTAAAAATACTTTAGTTTGTTTTACCACAATTAAAAAAAATTTTAAGCCCTAACTGTAGTTTGTAAAAATTCAAACTATAATTGAACAAATTTCCAAATCCATAATCCAGGTTTGGCACCATGAAAATTCTTTTTCTGGCTTTTAAAATTTTACTGTGGTAAAATACATGTAACATAAAATTTCCTACATTTTTAAAATGTACGTCTATATTTCATTTACTTATCCAGAAATACTTCAGCTTCCCAAATTTTTTTCAGTTGCCAAAAATGACATGTTCATAATAAATGATAAACCAAAAGATTAGAAATCTTTGATTGCTGATTTCTACTCTAGGCTGAAGATCAAGAGTTGCATGCTCCACTCAATGAGCCAGTGAGGTGCCCCTATTACCACCTTTTCTTAAGTGAGACTTCAATGATTCTTATTATTTACCTGTGGAGATCTCTTATGGACAGGAAGCCTTGTAAACTGCCCATGATAATATGTTCTCCAGTGATACATATATCTGATACTTGTTCTGTCAGGACTTGGGACCCTAGATGCTTGCCATTTACAGAAAACAGATGTAATGCATTCTTATCCTGTAAAGATTAGGTGAAGAAAATTTAATGATCTCAAACGAAAATGGAGTTTTAATACTGACAAAACTGTGACTATAACAGAATAACTACTGGATTTAAAATTTTGGAATAAACATATAGTTATGTTTAAAGAGAAAGTGTGTAGACAATATTATTAAAGTGATTTTAAATGAGAAGTAATTATATATTTTAAGAAAATATTTAAATAAATAATTGCCAAGTAAATAAATACTAAACAGGGACTGTGATCTGTCCAAACGAATGAAAATCTCATCCAGTCTAAAAAACCCCACAATACATTTTTTTAAACCCCACATTCTTAACACAGAACAAAGAAATTCTCTTAACTTTTTTTAAAGCTTCAGTTCTTTTTTTTAAAATTTTATTGTTATGTTAATCACCATACATTACATCATTACTTCTTGATGTAGTGTTCCATGATTCATTGTTTGTGCATAACACCCAGTGCTCCATGAAGAATGTGCCCTCTTTAATACCCATCACCAGGCTAACCCATCCCCCAACCCTCCTCCCCTCTAGAACCCTCAGTTTGTTTTTCAGAGTCCATCGTCTCTCATGGTTAGGGTATGTGCTATGGTGAACGCTGTGAATTGTGCAAGACTGTTGAATCACAGATCTGTACTTCTGAAACAAATAAAGCTACAGTTCTTTTAAAATTTTTATTGATTTTAAGTTATCTCTATGCCCAATGTGGGACTTGAACTCATAAACCCTGAGATCAAGAGTCTCATGCTCTATCAACTGAGCTACCCAAGATTCTGTTAAATTTTTTTTAAAGATTAACTTTTTTGAGAGAGAGAGAGAATGCGTGTGCACATGGGCACGCAAGCAGGGGAGGGGCAGAAAGAGAAAGACAGAGAGAGAGAATTCCAAGCAGACTCCCCACTCAGCGGGGAATCCAATGCAGGGTTCAATCCCATGACCCTGAGATCATGACCTGAGCTAAAATCAAGAGTCGGATACTTAACTGACTGAGCCACCCAGGTCCCCCAATTCTCTAATTTTTATTTATTTATTTAAAAATTTTTTTAAAGATTTTATTTATTTATTTATTTGAGAGAGAGAGAGAGAGATAAGACAGAGGGGCAATAAGCTGGGTGAGGGGCAGAAGGAGAGGGACAAGCAGACTCCCTGCTGAGTAGGAAGCCCAACTTGGGGCTCAATCCCAGAACCCCAGGATCATGACCTTAACTGACTGAGCACCAGGCGCCCCACTGATGCTCTAATTTTTAAAAAGCTTTATCATGGAAAGAAAGAGAACATAATTCATGGCTTATTTATACCCAGCGTGTACAAGAAGAATTTAATTTGGTTATAATTTCCACTTAAGCTTCTTAAGTCCCACATAACCAGAAATTCTTTTTGAAATCAGTTATTATATGGTCAATAGAAATCCCTAAAACAAAATATAAACATGAGGCCAAGACTGTGATAGGGGTCCATTTAATGGTAAGGAATGAACAAACTGAAAGATAAAAGGAAAATATCCTTTTCAAAAAAATGGTGTTCTTCATCAAAATGCCTCATATATACAGTAAAATATGGAAAGGAAAAGACAGGGTTATAGTCTAGTCCTACTGCATGTAACTGTTATATATATATAATACCTTGAGATTGGTCTTTTCTTCAACGCTAGAATAGATGACAATATGTCCTTCCCAGGATATAGCCAAATTAGGAATAGTCAGGAGCAGAGAACTCTCACAAGGTGGCCGTAAAGTCCTCATGTATTGACCTTTCTGAATGGTATGTATAATCACAGTGCCATCCTACACACAGATAATATCAGAACATGAAAAAGAGAACAACAAAAAAGAAGGCCAGATAAATAAATACGGGAAACGAACTCAGAAAATGATTATTCTACCACGGACACATGTATCTTAGGAAAAATTCCAATCTTGAAATCTGAAATAGTATTCTATTTTATTTTTATTTTCTTAAAGATTTCATCTATTTATTTGTCAGTGAAAGAGAGTACGAGCAGGGGGATCGGCAGGAAGAGGGAGAAGCAGGCTCCCCACTGAGCAAGGAGCCAGATGTGAGACTTGATCCTAGGACCCCGGGATCATGACCTGAGCCAAAGGCAGACGCTTAACTGACTGAGCCATCCAGGCGTCCCTTGAAATAGTATTTTATTTCGTAAGATGCCCTCTTTCCTTAACTAATAAGACCAGTAAAATACCAAAATAGAATCCAGTCTCTTTAAGTTTCTTCTTTCCGTGTTATGCTACTTCTGCAAAGTCCTACACAAATAAAGAATTCCTATACTTTTACCAGTCCACCTAGAAAAAAATTTATCATTCTAATTTTAACACATGTGCCTCCAAAGCAAGCATGAGAATATTTAAATATAAATATTGTTTCTCAATTTGTAGAAAAAATTAGCATTTTTTAAAGATTTATTTATTTATATTTAGAGAGGGGGGGCAGAGGGGCGGAGGGAGAGAATCTCAAGCAGACTCCCCGCTGAGCTCGGAGCCCAAGGTGGGGCTCAATCTCAGGACCCTGAGATCATGGCCTGAGCCGAAATCAAGAGTCGGATGCTTAACCGACTGAGCCATCCAGGTGCCCTGAAAATTAGCATTTCTTAAAGGTGAAATCTTACCCTTGATCCTGACACTGCCATGTCTAGTTCAGTGCTGATGCCAACACTCAATACCTCATCAGTGTGTCCATACAGAATCTGAAAGGGTTTAGACGCTAAGCCCACAGGAATACCTCCCTAATGTTAAAAGAGAAGCAAAGGTTAATTTTCTAGTAGGTTATTTTCTGCAAAAAGGTTTATACTATATTTAAATTGTCTAATCACAAAGTAACATTGCAACTAGTTCTTACCACAGCATCTATTCGTAACAGGACTCATTCTTATGTTCCTCCTTGGATTCTCAAATTATTCTCAGTCTTTTGAAGCTCTAAAACTTAATCTGAATAGTTCCAAAGTTGCTTGCTTTGGATTAATTCTAACAGGTATATTATTTGTCCTTCCTTTATTACAAACAAACTTCATATTCTTTCTGAATACTTTTTTTTTTGGTTGACATAAGATGTTAGGTATACAACAATGATTCAACAATTCTATAAATTACACACTGCTGACCATGGTAAGTGTAGTTATCATCTGTCACCATACAATGTTATTATATTAGCTATGTTCCCTATGCTGTATTTCTGTGACTTATTTTATAGAATTTAATTATTTTAAATCTTTATTTCATATTAATAATTTGATATTCAGCCACATCAAATCTGTTGCTTACTGTTTCTACTTTTGAGTTTATTATATTCATAATGGTATTGGTTTTAATATTGGTTTGATTCTTCTGCATTCTTTTCATCTTATTTTAAGATTTATTTTTACTTTAGAGAGAAAGAGAGCACACACGCATGAGCGAGTGGGGGGGGGCAGAAGGAGAGAGAGAAGCAGACTCTCCATTGAGTGTGGATATGCACGCAGAGCTCCATCCCACAACCCGGAGACCACGACCTGAGCCGAAATCAAGAGTCAGTCCCTTGGCCTACTGAGCCACCCAGGTGCCACTCCTTTTCATCTTTTTTTTTTTTTTTTTTAATTTATTTGAGACAGAGTGAGTGAGAGAGCACGAGAAGGGGCAGAGGGAGAAGGAGAAGCAGACTCCTCACTGAGCAGGGATCCTGACATGGGGCTCGATCCCAGCTGGGATCGTGACCTGAGCTGAAGGCAAGACGCTAAACCAACTGAGCCACCCAGGCACCTCTCCTTTTCATCTTACTATGCCACTATATAATTTCATCTTTGAGGTCCTTAAGCCTGTTTTACTGAATTGATATTCTTATGTTCTTCTAATAGCGCAATTTTATTGCAGGGAATCTCTCTACACTTGAGTTGCTGTCTTCACCTGTTTTTAGCATGTTTTGTTTGTACATTACTTTCTATGATATAGAATGAGTAGTTGCCATGGTATTTGTTTATAATTATCCTAGATAACTCTGGATAGGTAGATAACATTTACCTGTGCTATATAATGTAGATGAATTCCCATCAATACTCCTATCTGGGACACATTTGTCTTCCTCTAAGATTGTCAATCTGAATGCTTCGTGTACTTTAATTTATAAAAATCAGGTAATTCCTATATTATTTAAGCATTTCAAATTACAGAGAAAGATGGACCCTTCTCAAAATCATTTTATAAAGTTTGCATATCCCTACACTAAATATGGCAAAGACAAAACAAATACAGATTTATTTCACATATGAGTAGAGAAATACAGTACTAGCAAATATAATTCTGTAGTAAAATATAATACGTTGTGAATTATATGGGTTTATTATAGGAATTCAAGACTGGTTCAAACCTAGGAGACTTTTCAACGTAATACATTAAGAAAAAGAGAAAAGCTATGAATAAAAAAAAGGAAAAGAAACTGAAAAATAGCTGAAAAGGACATTATGGGAACTACTGACAAAATCAGAACATGAACTGTGGATTAGATAATTTGTATTGTATATTGTATAAATGTTAAGTGCTCTGATTTTAATAACGGTGGTTATATATAAAAAAGACTTGTTCTTAGAAAATACACACTGAAGCGTTTAGGGGTAAAGGAACATAATATCTACAACCTTTTTTTCTTTAAGATTTTATTTTTAAGTAATCTATACCCAATATGGGGCTCCAACTCACAACCCCGAGATCAAGAGTTGCATGCTCTACCGACTGAGCCAGCCAGGTGCCCCTACAACGTTTAAATTGCTCCCCCCCCAAAAAAAGATGCTGTGAGAAAGACATCAGAAGAGAATAACACAAATGCAAAAGTGTAGTATTTTTGTACTGAAATTTTACTAAAAAGCTACCAAAAGAAAAAAAAAAAACAGAAGCTAACTACTTAAATATAAAAAAAACACAACCCAACAACAATGTATAATGCAATACAACAGCAAATGCTACACTAAATGGCACAACAGTGAAGGCACTTTCATCAAAATCAGACATAAGACAGGGATGCTCACTATAATTTTTTTACCCTACTGCATTAGGTAATAATGTAACAAGATAAGAATATGAGATCATTAGTATACTGGAAAAGATAAATCCACCTTTATTTTCATTGTAAGATTGTGTATCTATTTTTGGAAAATCTAAGAAATACTAATAATTATAAGAACTGGATAAAAAGATTTGGTAAACCAATTAGATAACTGTATAGAAATCAATAGGTTTTTTTTACAGTAACCATAATCAATTAGAAGTAAAAATGATTTTTAAAAATCCCACCAAAATATTATAATTACAAATAAACATTAAAAAGTACAGAACCTAATAGAAAAAAATTACTAAAAGATTTTATTGAAGAACATTAAAAAAAGAACTGAAATAAATATGGAAAGACATTTTCTATTTCTGGGAAGGCATGATTATAAAAATGTCAACCCATACCAAATTAACATATAAATTAAATATAATTTCATCAAGACTAAAATGGAGTTTTTGAGGAAGATATGGTTAAAATATTTTTAAAGTTCATATGGAAGAATAAACACTAATATAAGATAGCTGAGAACATTTTTTATAAGGCAACACAGTGAAAAATTAGTTTTACCAAATATTAAACTACTAAAATAAAAACATCTTGGTGTTGCCATAGAAATAAGTTAAGTGTAAAAATATGGGGAATCTAGAAAAAGATCCAATCCATTGGGTAATCATTTATGCTGGCATAAATGACTTCTCACCCAGAAGTAAACAAAATCATATATTTTAACATTCTATATTATTAAACATATATTATATACTCTCTCTATATTCTATCATATATATCTATATAGTATATATCTAATACTCTTATTCTATATTAAAAATTATAGAAAAGTTAATTACCAATGGATTAAAGATTAAAATGTAAAAGAAATAAAGCAAGAAAAATATTACAAGAAAATTTTTGGTAATTATTTTAATAAATTTGGAGAAGAAAGCCTGTTAAGCAAAGTAGAAAACCTAAAAGCCATAAAGAAAAAAGACACTTCCTTGAAGCAACATTATAATGAGAGTACAACACAGTTGATAAAAATGATAAATCTGTAATTTTTAGTAGTCCCACCAGAAAGGAAGACAATGTGTAACTACCTGTTGTGTGATTTGCCATATCATACATGTAGTGTCTCTGGAACCAGAAATCAAATGTATTCCACAGTAATCTGTAGCTAAACAAGTCACAATATCTGTAAGAAAAAAGGAATTACAAAGAATGAAAACGGTGGGGTTTTGCAGGAATAGAACTATAAGGGCAATTTTAGTTTATGTTCCATTACTCAATCAGTTGTTTAGCAGGAGAAATCTAAGAATGGCAATGGAAAAAGCACTGGAAAAGGGTGACACAGGAAAGAAGCAGTATTTTTTTTTAAAGATTTTATTTTTAGGGCGCCTGGGTGTACATGCCCCGACCCCAAATTTTGGCTCAGGTTGTGATCTCAGAGTTGTGAGATCAGGCTCTGAATTGGGCTCATGCTCAGCATGGGGTATGCTTGGAATTCTCTCTCTCCCTCTGCCACTCCACCCTTCCCCCTCTCTAAAATAAATAAATAAAATCTTAAAAAAAAAAACAAATATGTTAAAGATTTTATTTTTAAGTAATCTCCACACTCAACGTGGGGCTCAAACTTACAACCCTGAGATCAAGAGTTACATGCTCCACCACCTGAGCCAGGCGCCCCAGGAAAGCAGGAGTATTAAACTCAAGTGGGAGAGTTTTCTTTGAGGCCACCCTGCTTTGAGAGTGAAGAGTACACATGGGCCAGGGAGATGTCTGTTGGAGTCCTGGCTGTGGGTTAGGTGGCTTAGAATGGATCCCCAGGAAGTTTTGATATGCTTCTCTGCTTTCTCACTCTCTCATTTCCATTCACGTTCTACTCCCATTAGGAACTGCAATCCTGTGGAATATGTGCCCCTAACCAAAACAGTACAAAATACACTACAAATTCTCAATATGAAAAACATTTTTGCTAAATAGTAAAAACCTGAGCTAAGTGGCATCTCAGGAGCCACCAGTATAGAAGTAGTAGCAGATTCCATTTCCCTTTCTTAATAGGTTTATTAGGGGAAAATCTACAAGATGGATGTTTTATTTTGTTTTTAGAGACAGTGACTGTGGGGGGAAGGAGGGACCAAGGGAAAGGAGGAGAGGGAGAGAGAGAAAAAGAGAAAGAGAGAGAATCTTAAACAGATTCCATGCCCAGCGTGGAGCCCAGTGCAGAGCCTGACGAGGGCTGATCTCACAACCCTGAGATCATGACCCAAGCTGAAATCAAGAGTTGGATGCTTAATCTACTGAGCCACCCAGGTGCTCCCACAATGTTCTATTCTTATATTGAAGGCTGAAACACGAAGGAGCACCAGGTTAACTACATTCAGTAATTTATCTCCCTCATGCTTAACTGTTAACTAATAGGGCAGGTGATGTCTTATTCAACTACGACAGATTTTTTTTTTAATTCCATTTTGTCTTAAAATTCTTATTTGTATCAACCAATTTTTATTTTTTAAAGATTTATTTATTTTGAGAGAGAGGCGGGGGGGTAAAGGGAGAGGAAGAGAATCTCAAGCAGACTCCCTGCTAGTTGTGGAGACCAATGTGGAGCTCCATCCCACCAGCCTGGGATCATGACCTGAGCAGAAATCAAGAGTTGGATGCTCAACTGCCTGTGCCACCCAGGCACCTTGTATCACCTAATTTTTAAAAAAAGACTTAGCCTAACATCGTTCAGATATTATGAAGCTCTATTTAATTTGTATGGTATTTAGTATACCCTAAATACATTAAATACTCGTAAAGAAAGCATAACGTTCATAACACTACTCTATGAGAAAGTTTACTTAGCTTTGAAGGTAAATTTTAATGCTCTTTATAGGACCATGTACTACTTTTGTAGTTAGAAGAAACAGAGAAAACTTTTTTGGGGAAAAAAAGTTAATACTTACCCATGTGTCTGATATTGTGTGAAATAATTTTCCCTTTTGTAAGTGACATCACTTGAATGCTATTATCCCAGTGTCCAGCACTGAAAAGCAACTTCGCATCATGTGATACTATGAATAGCTTAGAAGTGATCTCCAGCCCTGGAGCAAAAGGACCATTCATACTACGCTGAGTTCTGTAAACACAATTAAATATTAGACTTTTCCTTAAAAGGCCACTTAGACTGATACCAACTATTTTTTAAATCTCTCTGAAAAATAAAAACAAATCTGTTCAACTGTTCAATTTGAAATGTCCACTAATGAATGATAACGACTTTCAGAAAATACATTAATCATATTCATATTTTTCATTACATAAAAAGATACATAACAAATAGTCTCAAGGGTTAAGCTAAAGAAGTTGAGACTGCTGAAGGTGTGTAGAAGATTTAAATCTTGCCTTTCAAAGCCAACTTAGGAAGACTGTCAATTCTGTAAATGGTAGTATCAAAGTATAAAGGACAAGACAAGGATATGACAGGATGAGGAAAGCTGGAAATCAACTGAAACCAGGAATCTACTGCACAGGCAGATAAATGTGTATCTAACAATATTCATGAAGATCATTTTTCACTCAAACTAAAGCAAGCATATGGGTTTTATCTGCTTTCCAGTTAAATAAATACCCGTGAGGTCAGCCACTCTAGATTTTGCAGAAAGACACAATGAAGTTATATGCAACTAACGAATTGTTGAATACTACATCAAAAACTAATGATGTATATATGTTGGCTAACTGAACGTAAAAAAATAAAAAGTGATTGCACTTCAGTGTGTGTACAGAGAATGAGGGCCAATTCTGACAGTTCAGCTCTAGAACTTTATTATTCAATATTAATTTGCTGAAGGTATGCTTTGTGCCAAGTACAACAATACTAAGTCCTAAATGCGAATAAGAAGGAAAAAAGACATTGCTCCTAATAAACATACAGCTAAAACAACTCAGAGTAAGGGAAACATTAATTTAAAATGTAACCTCTGGATATTTAAACAATTAACTAAGGTATGTACAAATAATTAATTAATTAATTAAAAATAATACAATAAAGTAAAATTTAAAAAATTAAATAAACTAAGGTAAATAATAAATTCTCATAAAAAACATACAAGGCTTACTTATAAATAACATTATACAACAAAAATACAATCAAGCCTAAAAACTACTCCTAATAATTCGTTTGTTTCTTTTTTTCTTTAAGATTTTATTTATTTGTCAGAGAGAGAGTGCACAAGCAGGGGGAGAGGGGGAGTGGCAGCTGGAGGGAGAAGCAGGCTCCCCGCTGAGCAAGGAGCCTGATGCAGGGCTCAATCCCAGGACCCTGGGATCATGACCCAAGCCAAAGGCAGACACTTAACCAAGTCACCCAGGTATCCCTAATTTCTGTTTCTATAATGATATTATAGAAATTGTTTTATCCTTAAGCCAGAATTCAAGTCAGGAAAAGGGAAAGAGGGAAGAAAATCTGCGGGTCTACTGTATTACTTTCAAAATGACACCAATCAATTTAGTAGTTTTTCCTGGCAATAAGGTACCAGCTGCACCTGTTTTGCTTTAAATGTTCATTTACTTACTTTGGATTTGTTACAGTTTGATCTTTGATGAATGTAAAGTAATTAGAAATGTTTCTGTCATAAGGCAGCCATCCATGGGTTCCAACAATGTAATTCATGCTTACTGTTATCTGGAAAAGAACACATGAAGACAAAAATGGAATAAAAGATTAAAGAAAGCAGCACTAAATAACCAAATGCTCACATTATGTTATCATTTATCATTTAAGGAATAATGTGGGATTGTGTACTTAAAGCACAAAATTCATTAAATCTTTTTTTAAGATTTTATTTTTAGGTAATCTCTACACCCAAAGTGGGGCTCAAACTCACAACCCTGAAATCACATGTTCTACTGACTGAGCCAGCCAGGTGCCCTGCATAAAGTCAAAAGTTCTTTATTTTTATCTTTATTTTTAGTTTATCTTATATCTCGTGGCAAGAAAAGTCCAATGTATCTTTTTTTTTTAAGATTTTATTTATTTGAGAAACAGAGAAGAGCATGAGCAGGGGGAGGGGCAAAGGGAGAGGGACAAGCAGACTCCCCACTGAGTGGAGAGCCCAACGTGGGGCTCAATTCCAGGACCCTAAGGTCATGACCTGAGACTGTCAGATGCTCAACTGACTGAGCCACCCAGGCGCCTCTGTATCTTTCTTTAGTGAGATAATCTTCCTCATTATTTCTCAAAGATTACTAGCATCTATTAGTTGGCAGTCAGAAGACATTAAAAGTCATTAAAAGAAATTAGAAGCTCTCTCTTCTTAGTGACAGTTAGAGTGAATATTTTTTTTAAAGATTTATTTATTTGAGAGACAGCAAGTGAGTGAGTGCAGGGAGGAGGAGCCGAGTGAGAGAGAGAATCCCAGGCAGACTCCCCTCTGAGCATGAAGCCTGATGCAGGGCTTTCTCTCACAACCCTAAGATCATGACCTGAGCCAAAATCAAGAGTCAGAGCAGAGGCTTAACCAACTGAGCGACCCAGGTGCCCCCTACAGTGAATATTCTTTTGAAAAATGAAAAGATTCTCCCATAGATTATAAAAGATTACCAAAGAGATAACTTAAAGAAATACAGGTATTAAAGGTGAAAATCACAAGAATTCTACCATTGAAAGGCACTTTTTTTTTGGATATATCTTTCTAGACCTTTTTTCTAAGCAAACAAACAATACGCATAATTAGAAAAATAGGTTTAATTCTGGAATCTCTACTGTTCCCTGTGCTATACTCTATTGTTATAATTTGTACATGACAAAATGAGAATCAGACAGACCTAGGTTTGGTCAGTGTGCCTGGGTCCCAGATCCCTTACTTGCTAGCTCTGCAACTACGAGCAAATTAATTACTTCCGAGTTTTAATTTCTCATCTGTACAAGGGAAATAATAATAATGCCTATCTCACAGGATTGTCAGGTGGATTAAATTACAAAATTCATGTAAAGCACTCACTAACAAGTCCTGAGTGTGTATCTTAATCAATTCTGTATTATTTCTTATTTTCATTCTTTTACTGCCTTATGATATATTGTAACAGATGATGTTATATCCTACTTTTCTTGTACAAAATTTTCTGGTATTTTCAGATATTTATTATTCCAAACAAACTTTAGAATTACAGTTAACTACTTGCTGGGCTCCGTCTTAGGACCCTGACATCACAACCTGAGACGAAACCAAGAGCTGGATGCTTAACTGACTGTGCCACCCAGGCACCCAAGAAAATACATTTTTATATTTGATCAAAATAATTCCATAAAAATCTTCTTTATTATTTTTAAGAAGTCTTAAAAAATGTATTTTCTCAATTTTTTTTATAGTTATAATGTATTTGGATGTAGCAGTGTGAAAAAACTATAAATCGACTTACCAGTAACTCAGGACTGCCTTGAGACATAAAAGAACGAGACTGATTTTTGGGGACAATGGCCTTTATTAGTGGAACACCATCACTAATTCCCTATAAAATAAAGACAGAGGCTTAGTGGCTGGTTCTGCTTATCTTTATTAGGTTTAAGTCATTGAAAACTTCTATTTCCTTAAATAAGAATGAACCCTGTGATACAGCATTTTATTCTACCAAACATTTTATTCTACCAAAACATATCATTTAATTAAAATGTAGAAAAGGAGAATCACTATGCTGTATACTTAAACTAATGTAATGCTGTGTGTCAAATATACTTTAATTTAAAAAAAAGGCTAAAAAAATATAGGAAAGGAACTATGTACCAGGTTTGGGTGGCATACTTGAAACTTCTAAAACCCATCATTTTCTTGTATCCTACTTCTCTGCTGTGAAACAGAAATGCAGATTTCAAGGAGCATCAACCATTAAAACAGCCAGTGATTTAGAATCTTTCCTTTTTCCTTGCCATACTGACATGAATATAAAGTAGAAAATACAGACCGTATAAGAGTATACTGCTCAATTAAGTCAAATATGACAACTGGCTATATTTTTGTAGAATTTCCCTTTGGGTTTAACTTTTAAAACATAGATCTATTCCATTAAGTGAGGCAATCCCTGATGCTGTAACAATAGGGCCAGAAAATACAGTTCTCAGAAAATATCTGCCATTATCTTATTACAACATGAAAGAGAATAGTGATTTGAACTAAGTTTTTTGATGTAACAATAGTTCATATATTATACCTCACATTTATTAAACTATAACCTAACACTACTGGGTATATACTATGTGCCAGGTGCTATTCTAAGAGTCTTATATAAATTAAATAATGAATTATAAACCATATAAAATTAGTCCCTATCTTTTCTCTTCACTTTGTGAATCAAGAGAACCTACATTTGAACAAACATAAATGAACATGGCATTTGAAGAAATCCATTTATTAGGCCTTTGCTTTCACTACTACCTCTGTTTTCTTCACCATTTTAACAACTAGGAAGAGATAACCTACAGAGAGGCCTTCTCTTTTCATATGAATGAGTGGGGAAATACCCTCCCCTATGATAACAAAAAGGGATTAACAGATTATTAGTACCCCAGGATATCTATTGTATTCTTTGTCCTGCTCTAGATACTGGTCCTGGGAATAGCTACCCTGTGACATAGTGGGTACAAAGGGACAAATGTCACTGAATCTGCAGATGGAACTTGGAATGCATTATTCTATAAAAACAATGTCACAAATGATTAGACATGATGAAATCATTTTATCACCGTTGCATAATATAGTACAACATGTCCATCAGATTATGTGTTAAATAATGGGTTGCCCTATGTGCAGTAAAGAGTAAACACAGCAGGCTCGAAACAACTCTCCTTAGAAAGGCCTTCCTGCAAGGTAGGCCCTTGGCTGGCATCTGGGAACTTGGCGGGCAGAGTTCCCTGCACGGATATAAAACTTGTCCTCAATGACAAAAGTGGTTCGCTACTCCTAGATTATTTGTGCAAACAACATGGTTTATGCTGAAGATCCTAATTTCTCCTGGGAGTCTGGAATTTTGCCATGTGCTAGGCAGAGGTTACCTATGTGACCAGCCCCCAGTAAATACCCTGGGTGTTGAGTCTTAATGAGCTTCCCTGGTTAGATAAACATGTGTTTTCACATTTCATTACTGGGAGAATTAAGCATGTCCTATGTGACTCTCCTGGGAAAGGATTCTTGGATGCTTGTACCTGGTTTCCCCCATACTCCACCTCATGTGCTTTTGCCCTTTGCTGATGTTGTTTTGTATCCTTTCACTGTAATAAACTTTAGTTGATATGTTGAATACTGTGAGTCCTTCTAGCAATCACCAAACCTGAGGATGGTCTTGGGGACCCAGAACACATCTAGGAATTAGTCATCATTTCTTTTTTCTTTCTTTCTAAAAGTTAAGCTCTATGCCTAAGGTGGGATTTGAACTCACCATCCCAAGATCAAGAGTCACATGTTTTACTGACTTGAGCCAGCCAGGGGCCCCAAATTAGTCATCATTTCTAAGCACTGTTTCTATGTATGTTGAGTTCCAGGCAACTGACTTAGATACTTTGGGAAAACAACTGAATCTGGAGAGTTTGTATTGTTAAACACTAAATAACTATATCTCACTAAACATGAATCTAGGAAAGGAGCAGCAAGAGTTATGAAGTGCTTTCAGAAACATGGGAAAACATTTACATTAAACTACTACAGAAAATACTACAACATTATTCATTTGAATAAACTCAGTAGAAAGCTAACTATAATAGAAACGTCCTAAAATTTTTTATACCAAATTATCAAAAAATTCTATAAAGATTTCCCATGATACTGAACCTAAGAAACACATTATAATGATGCTCTAATGCAGGATTGGACAAATTTGGCCTATGGTACAAGTGCAGCCTACCACCTGTTTTATAGGCTGTGGGTAAGCAAAGAATGGTTTTTACATTTTTAAATGGTTCTATTTAAACTGGTTACATATGTACCTACATAACATGCTTGATTTTGCCTTTTGACTACAGAGTCCAAAATATTTACTATCTGGCCCTTTAAGAAAAGTTTACCAATGTCTATCGTATTGCATGAGAGTTATTGCTTATTCCACACATTTCCAAACTATTCTTAATAACTTTTTATCATCATTTTTTCTTCTTGCCAAGAATATTATGTCTTAACCAAATTCATAGGTATAAATGCATTTCATATTCACATGCTGAACCGTTCAAAGTAATTCAACATGTATAAACATTTGAATTTAAAATACTCTTTCAATTATAGCATTAACTATCTTGTTTTACTTGATTATTCCTTCTGATATCAGCAATTAACAATCTGACTCATTGGGCCATATTTTATAAATGAGCAGACACTATAATTAGGAGGTATTTTACACTCCCTCTGCATATCATTTCAGCTGTCATGAAAAGCAATTTAAATCAAATTATTTATTCTTCCTTGTCTGGAAAATGTGACGTAGAATAAAGCAAGCCAAGATAAACAGGTCTCAGTACCACTCAGCAGCAAACAAAAACTTCCAGTAAGATTGTTTTAAAAATCCAAGAACATATTATTGCAACATTATTTACTATTTTGGATTAAATATTATGACCCCTCCCTTTACAGAATAAAAGGAGCACTGACTGGTATATAGAATTCACAGAGAAAATGCTTTGATATTACCAAGTTGGATATTACCTCTATAAAAAATGACTTGAGTTCAGAGAGGTGTTGAAATAGGTTTAGGGTTGAAGTGTCTGTTTTGGTCTGCTTCTGCACTGTTTCTTCTGCTGACAATCTAGGAGGATGTGGTTCCTTCAAAATAATTTTAAGAAAAAACAATTCCATAACTATATTAAGACATCTCTCACTGTACTCCTTTGTACATACTGGGCTCTAGATATACTGGATTGCATACCATGCACTGTTGACAAATTCTATGCCACTGTTCAGACTACTCCTTCAGCAGAGTTTTTACCCTGTTCATTTCTAGAGAAACCCTACTTCTACTCTAAAGTTTTTCTTACTGATGTATTCTTGAATTTCTAAGCTAGAATTAATTATTCTCTTTTATTATTTTTACCAACACATTGCTTTGTTTAGTATTTTATTCAGTAATTATTTCTATGTTGGATTACATAGTTGTTTATGGTCTATCTTTTCCAACCAGGCAATGGGTATCTTTTTTAAGATTATTATTATATTTTTTTTAAGAAATCTCTACACCCAATGTGGGGCTTGAACTCAACAACCCCGAGATCAAGAGGTGCACACTCCACCAACTGAGCTAGTCAGGTACCCTTAGGTAAAAGGTATCTTAAAATCAGAAAACAAATCTTATTCATTTTTGGATTTTTGATACCTAGAATCGTATATAAGTATGACAGATGCTTAATAAATACTTGGTAAAATTAAATGAATCATTCAAAAGTCAAAATTTATATGGGTGAATCCTTATTTCCTGAAATAAAATCAAAATGTCAATACTATTAGAATCAAATTATAAATATTGCTCCATCTGTTTTCAAATAAATTATTCTTCCTTAACTTTAATGTCAGCAACATAGAACAGTGTTATCTTCATTAATAAGAAGTAAATGGCAAATCAAATTAACAAGCAAAAGGCATAATTAAAATGCAGAACAGAATTTCATCTAAAGGGGATTTTTCTATCCCCATCACAACATATTAGATTATAGAAAAATAATATGACAGCTATAAGTACCTCAATATTTAGCTCTCAATCCATATGAGTATTTATTCACTTTATTTTAAATCAAAGGCTGACTGGGAATTAAGATGGTGGAGGAGTAGAGGGACCCTAAGTTTGTCTCAACCCTCAAATACAACTAGATAGTTATCAAATCATCCTGAACACCCAAGAAATCAATTGGAGGTCTGAGAAAAGAAATGCTGCAGGTCTACAAGTAGAAAAGCAACGACTGTTTGGAAGGTAGGAGGCACAGAGACTTGAATCTGGTGTGATATAGCTGAGGATACAGCAGTGGGGAGGGGGGCCTGCTTAATGAGGCTACCACAAAGTATTATAAGCAGTGGAGTGCAAAATCAGAACTTCTAGAAGACTGCAACTACAGTGAGGGACATGCCTGGCTTAAAGATGCTCAGATGGTGAAGTGGGGCAGAACCCCAGGTGTCACAGCATGATCTGAGGATCCCTGGGGTCACAAGAAGAATGTGTGGCAGCTCAGTACGGCACAGTTCCCAGGTATATAAGTGTAGAAGCCACCTGAGAACAGCGAGTCTAAGTGCCAGCTTTCTGTTCTGTGTTGCCATAAACTGATCCCCTGCATGATCAAGTGACTGCTTTCCTGAGACAGGTCCGCCAAATGGCAGAAGTGTGGCGAGACCATCCCTGGGAAGAACAGCGCAGGTCCAAACCGTGGGAGTCCCTAAACTTTGGACTTTTATCCCAGGCGCGTGCCTGGGATAAAAAAGCTTGGACACAGGCAGGGTGAGCACAGAGTTCTGACAGAAACGGGGGAGACAAGAGTGATTGAGTGCTTTTCTGTGAGGGCTCACTGAAGAGTGGGGAGTGCAAATTTTCAGCTCCGGGGCTGGAAAGCAGAATGCTGCCATATCCATTATGCCCATCTCCGCTAAGTCTTCAGGGAGCGAAAGAGCACCACCTAGTGGAGCCTAGAGCCACTTACACCAAGCCCTGCCTCCTTGTGCACTGCAGGCGCATTTCCACTAAGGCAATTCCACCTGAGAATCAGCATAGCGGGGCCCTTCTCCCAGAAGACCAGCACAAACAACTCCCTTGCACCAAGTCTACTGATCATAGAGGGCTGAAAAACTTTGGCTCTAGGGGAAAACAGTAACCAGCATTCTTTGTATTTTTATTCTTTAGTTGTTATTTTATTCTTTTCTAATTTTTTTAATCCTTTTTTAATTTTCACTTTTATAAACATTACATATGTTTTATTTTTTTTCTTTTCATTGTATTTATATATTTTTTTCTTATTTTGGGATCTAGTTTATTTTATTTTTTTTTATTTTTTATTTTTATTTATTATTTATTATTATTTATTTTTAAGATTTTATTTATTTATTTGAGAGAGTGAGAGAGAGATCATGAGCAGGGGGGAAGGGTAGAGGGAGAAGCAAACTCCCCACTGAGCAAGGAGCCCAATGTGGGACTCGATACCAGGGCCCTGGGATCATGACCTGAGCTGAAGGCAGAGGCTTAACCAACTGAGCCACCCACGTGCCCAGGATCTAGTTTCTTTTAACAAGGAGACTAAAACACATCCAGGATTTAGTTTCTTTCTGTTGCTGTTATTGTTTTTTTTCTTTTTCTTTTCTTTTCTGGACAAAATGACAAGACAGAGAAATTCACCCCAAAAGAAAGAACAGGAGGTAGTACTCACAGCCAGGGATTTAATCAATACAGATATAAGTAAGATATCTGAACTAGAATTTAAAACAATGATTATAAAGATACTAGTTGGGCATGAATAAAGTAGAGAAGACACTAGAGAAGAATCCCTTACTGTAGAGATAAAAGAACTAAAATCTAGTCAGGTCAAAATTTAAAATGCTATAACTGAGATACAGACCAAGTAGAGGCCATAAAAACAAGGCTGAAGAAAGCAGAAGAGTGAATCAGTAATATAGAAGATAAAATTACAGAAAGTAATGAAGCTGAAAAGAAGAGGGAAATAAAACTATTAAGAGCATGAAGGTAGACTTAGGGAACTCAGTGATTCCAAAAAGCAAAATAATATCTGTATTAGAGAAGTCCCAGAAGAAGAGCAGGAAAAAGGGGACAGAAGGTTTATATGAACAAATCATGGCTGAGAACTTTCCTAACCTAGGGAAGGAAACACGCATTCAAGTCCAAGAGGCACAGAGAACTCCCCACAAAAGCAATAAAAATAGGTCAACACCATGACATATTATAGTGAAACTTACAAATTACAAAGATAGAGAGAAAATCCTGAAAGCAGCTTGGGACAAGAGGTCCTTAACCTACAAGAGTAGACATGTAAGGCTGACAGCAGACATGTCCACAGAGACCTGGTAGGTCAGAAAGGACTGGTATGATATATTCCACGAGCTAAATGGGCAAAATATGCAGCCAAGAATACTTTATCCAGTAAGGCTGTAATTCAGAATAGGAGGAGAGATAAAAACTCCAAGATAAACAAAACTAAAGGAATTTGTGAACACTAAAGCAGCCCGGCTTAAAGGGGGCCATCTGAGCAAAAGAGAGACCAAAAGTAACTAAGACCAGAAAGGAACAGAGACAATCTACAGGAACAGCGACTTTACAGGTAATACAATGGCACTAAATTCGTATCTTTCAATAATTACTCTGAAAGTAAATGGACTAAATGCTCCAATCAAAAGACACAGGGTATCAAAATGGATAAAAAAACAAGACCCATTCATATGCTGCCTAAAAGAGACTAATTTCAGACCCAAAGACACCTCCAGATTGAAAGTGAGGGGGTAGAGAACCATTTATTATGCTAATGGAAATCAAAAGAAAGCTGGAGTAGCCATCCTTATATCAGACAAACTAGATTTCAAATTAAAGACTGTAATAAGAGATGAAGAAGGACACTGTATCATAATTGAAGGGTCCATCCAACAGGAAGATCTAACATTTGTAAATACTTATGTCCCTAACTTGGGAGCAGCCAATATATCAATCAATTAATAACTTAAAGAAAGTCATTGATAATAATACAATAACAGTAGGAAACATCAAAACCCCACTCACAACAATGGACAGATCACCTAAGCCAAAGATCAACAAGGAAACAAGGGCTTTGAATGACACACTGGACCAGATGGACTTCACAGATATAATCAGAGCATTTCATCCTAAAGCAGCAGAATACACATTTTTTTAGAGTGCACACGGTACATTCTCCAGAAGAGATCACATACTGGGTCACAAATCAGGACTCGACCAGTACAAAGAAGACTGAGATCATACCATGCGTTTTTTTGGACCACAATGCTATTAAGCATGAAGTGAACCACAAGAAAAAATTTGGAAGGACCACAAATACATGGAGGTTAAAGAACATCCTACTAAAAAATGAATAGGCCCATCAGGAAATTAAAGAAGAATTAAAAATAAATACATGGAAGCAAATGAAAATGAAAGCACGACAGCTCAAAACCTTTGGAATGCAGCAAAGGTGGTCCAGGGTGAAGTAAATAGCAATACATGCCTTCCTCAAGAAACAAGAAAAGGCTCAAATACACAGCCTAAACTTACACCTACAGGAGCCAAAGAACAGCTAATAAAGCCTAAACCCAGCAGGAGAAGATAATTAATAAAGATTAGAGCAGAAATCAATGAAATGGAAACCAAAGAACAGTAGAACGGATCAGTGAAACTAGCAGCTGGTTCTCTGAAAGAATTAATAAGATCGATAAACCCCTGGCCAGACTTATCAAAAAGAAAAGAGAAAGGACCCAAATAAATAAAATCATGAATGAAAGAGGAGAGATCACAACCAATACCAAAGAAATACAAACAATTATAAGTGAATATTATGATCAATTATATGCCAACAAATCAGGCAATCTGAGACATGGATAAATTCCTAGAAATATATGAACTACCAAAACTGAAACAGGAGGAAATAGAAAACCTGAACAAACCCATAACCAGCAAAGAATTTGAATCAGTAATTTGAATCTCCCAATAAACAAAAGCCCAGGGCTGGATGGCTTGCCCGGAGGAATTCTACCAAACATTTGAAGAATTAATACCCATTCTTCTGAAACTTCCAAAAAATAGAAATGGAAAGAAAACTTCCAAACTCATTCTC